TGTTTCATCGAAAACGGACCAGTGGATCAAAAGTTATTCACCGTTAAATATTTTTGAAATTTTCAATAGTAAATTCCAAAAATCCGCCGATATGGATACTTTATTATAATTGGAGTAGTGGAAATGCTTAAGGATAAAAAAAGGTAAATGAAAAATTTATTATATTAATCTGGAATCCTTTGCGCGAGAGATGCCTTTAATTTTATTAAAAATGCAATCAAGAATTGCACAGTACATATCAGTTATAACGCCTCAATATATTCAGTCATTTGTTTATATACAAATATCTATTAAGAAATAATTTGCGTAAAAAATAATTTATTCAAAATTTATGAAAAAAAACGATAATTTATACAAAGCATTATAATTTAAATAATCTCTATTATCTTTTAGCAATAGATTTTAGAGGAATTGAAAGATAAGCAATTGATACATCATTTTCATTTATATTCAGGTGTTTTGAATTTAACGATCCATCAGAACAAATCCGAGAGGTTGATCCTTATGATCATCATGGTTAAAAATTTGATTCACCAGGACCAAACTATCCTTAGAAATTTTAATTTTTCACTATATAGTATTTCATTTCCAATTCAATCTCATTTCGCCAAAAAAGTCATTAATTTGACGAGAATTTTCACTATATAGTATTTCATTTCCAATTCAATCTCATTTCGCCAAAAAAGTCATTAATTTGACGAGAATTTTCACTATATAGTATTTCATTTCCAATTCAATCTCATTTCGCCAAAAAAGTCATTAATTTGACGAGAATTTTTCGCATCTACAGTACTATAATTAATAAAGCATTATCAATGAATTAGAAATCGCGGTTAACACGAATTTTGAGTGAAATATTGAAATATTCAGATGCCATTTAATATTTTGTAGAAAACTCTAACCATAAAGCTAAAGTTGATAATTTCTCAAATTATTGTAAAACGGAAATTCATTTGGTAGAGCTTTAAGTTTCGAAAAAATAGTCTTATTCAAGAACTTAAATTAAATACTGTAATATGCAACATGCGATTTCGATGGCGTTCCTTATGTAATAGATTATTTTAGAGGAATACTGTAAATGGTGTATTTTATTTACCAGCTGTAAAATGCCAATTTTTTCAAAACTTCTTTATCGGTTACTTGTTTTTTAGTTTTAATGTCATAAACAAACAACACTTGACGCATGGTTTCTTTACAACGTGTAAGATAATTGCCAATGGCATATTCGAAATCACTTGGGTTATATTTTATTTGATTGTGGGGATTAATATTAATTGGTTCTAATGCGCAAGTGCCAAACCTGCTACAGTCACTTATTATATGATAATCCATTTTTCTAAGATCTTGGTATTTCTTGCTTTTGAATACCAGTGGATATCGGATACTAAAATCGAAGCTTGTTGGTGGTCCAAAAATAATCCATCCGAGCTTAATCTTAACTTTATGATTAAACTTTAATTTAACTTTTTCACTTTGTATATTATGAATAACAATCGCCGGGCTGTTTTCATTCGTGCGCCTTTTTGGAATTGGACCTAAATTAAAAACCCTGATTTACTATTTGATTAATTCAAATTTTTATGCTGGATTATACGTCAACAAAATGACGCATATATTAAATTGCACCCCAAATCAATAAAATCAATATAATTTTTACGTCAAACCCATCTTTCCACCTCAAAACCCATCTCTTTTTTTTTATCATTAAAAACCTATCCTCTTTTATTGTTATTAAAATTTAACTCTAAAATTAATCTTCGTATTTAAATAGTAATTATATTTATAGTCAAATAATTTGACTTGCATCAAATAGTCTATCACATACTACATCATAAATTTAGGGTAGTGTAAAAAGTCGCACTCATGTTTTCCATCCAAATAATCTGATTAAGTTCCGACAATTCATGAATATATGGCTTCTTATTTTTTTTATATTCTTTCATGTCGAAACGACTTTAGCTGTTATTAACAAAAGTTAATTATCAGGAAATTAAATTGATAAATAACTTTATATGAACGCTAATGAGTTTTTACCTTCTAAAATTTGATGACCCATGGCGCTCAACACTTTTTTTTTCAATTCATTATCCAACAGTTCAAATAATGGATATACTTCTTCGTATCCAATTATTTTCCATTTACTTTTATCATTAAGAGATTCTCTCCAAGGATTTGTATCATTTTGAGAATAGTCTGTTCCACCAATTATTGTTTTGATGTGATTTGTATTGTTATTCATAACCTTCTTACTATATGTAGCATTATTTTCATGTTTAATGATGATTTTAGTAATCCCGACTCTAACTTGTGCATTGGTAGTTTTGACTTTAGAATTTTCAACTACAGTAGCTTAAAAATGTAAATAAATGTTATATCACAACATTGATTAACAAATTTGAATTTTTAGCACATTCTTCATTCCTTATAATGGCTCCTCCTAAAATCAGATGGTTTGCATAAAAGTGGTCATATTTTTCTGATATTTCGCAAAGTTTGCTTATTTTGTCATTATCTATGGTTGTATCATTCACAATATTTTCAACATCTTCAATAAAATTTTTTTCTAAATAATGTTTTGAGAAAATCTATTTGAAGCCTAGGGCAAATTTGCCTAGATTTTCATTAGGGTAGGGTTAGGGTAGGGTTAGATAGGGTTGGGGGCAAATTTGCCTAGATTTTCATTAGGTAGGGTTAGGGTAGAGTTAGATAGGGTTAGGTTAGGGTTAGGGTTAGGGCTAGAGTAGTTTTATATGGGGACCCCACAGCAAAACAAGGGGCTCGGACAAAAAAATTTGAAAATTTGTTCTTATGATAATTTTATTCTAATTAAACTGATTCTTCGAGATATTGGATTTTTTTAAAAAATTTTTTTGGCTCAGCCCCTCCTTTTGCTGTGGGGTCCCCATATAGTAAAATTTCCTTTTTGGAGTTCAGGCAAATTTGCCCAGGCGTCAAATGGAGTGCCTTATATTAAAAAGGCCCATTTTGAAATTTTTTGAAAAATGAGTTTTTAATAGATTTAGGTAAATTTTTACTTGATAGACATTTTTCAATTATAAATGAAAGTTGATTTGTATAATAAAAAATAAAGATAATGTAAAAGAAAAATTACACAAGGCTGCCCAAGGCCAAGCACATTATGAGATTACTCAATAGTAATCTGCTATCTTTAACCAATCAAAATCGTGAAATTTGCTCAATCCCGGATCAGTCCAAAATTCAATTAAACTCAATTATCTCAAAATGAGGTATATGCCCAAATGGGCCTTTTTAATATGAAGCACTCCAAATAGCAAAACTCAAAAAATAAAATAACATTAAAAATTAATAAAAAAAATTAAAAAAAAGTTAAAATATAAATATATATATATATATGTACATATAAAATAAAGATTTTACTAAAACGCACCTATGGTGTTTTTACACTGTAGGTCCTATTTCTCAAAAATATACTAAGTAAAGAGGATCAGGTTTTCTAAGGAAAAATGTTCAGGACCCCCAAAAACCTCACAAGAACCGAGATTGGGCCTTATATTAGCTCTATAATATATTATATAAAAAAAAAAATTCTTAATTTCCTAACCCTAACCCTAAATTTTATTAAAAGAAATTATACATAGGTGCTAAAACACCATAGGTGTGTTTTATAATAATTCTAAAATAAAATTGAAAAAAAATGAAATAATAAATTTTTTTAAAAAAAATTATATTAATTTGGATTAATAAACCCAATTTAAGTTATTAAGTTTATTTGAACCTATATTAGATTATATTAAGTCTATTTAAACCCATGTGGTTTATTTAAATCTATGTAAGTCTATTTGAATTTATAATAGGTTTATTAACTTATACTAGGCTATTTAAACCTAAGTTGGGCCTATTTGAACCCAAGTTAGCTTAAAACAGATTTATTTAAATCTAAATAAGCTCAATTAAATCCAGATCTAAAAATTAAATCCCTAAAATCCTGGGCCTAAGAGCTAATATATTTGAGACCTAAGAATTAGAAAAAATTAAAAACTAGAACCCGAGCAATGCCGGGTCCTACGCGCTAGTTTGAATGCTATACAGTTTAAGGGATTCAAAAATAAGAATCGATTCTAATTCAATTAATGATTAAACTGATTATTATAGAATCCTAATTTCCACATAACTTAAAGCTAATATGAATATGACAAATAAAAGCAAATTTTCATGATAGAAGTAGACGTTGTCTTTTTTTAAAACTTATGAATATTAGTTTTTATAATTGTAATAATAATCATAAAATAGAACGCAAAATAAACATTAGTCTAATAAAATATATGAAAGATAGAATATAAATTTATACGTAGATCAATAGATAGAAATATTATTCTTTTTACAAAATTCTATAGCATCCGAGTGATTATATTGAGCAGCTTCTCTAATATATTTTATACCCAATTCTTCATCTTTAACACCAGTAAGACCGGAATAAAAAAGATTTCCAGCATTATACATGCCGACTACAAGTCCATTATCAGTGGCCTTTTGAAAATATTTTGCTGCCTCAAGAAAATTTCTTTCAACACCTATTCCTTGAAATAAACATAATCCATATTTTAATTGGATATTAGGCACTTCATTACCTGAATTAGTAGCTTCTTTAAATAATTGAGCAGCATGTTTCTCTCTCTCTTTATCAGAATAGGGTGTATTTATTAGCTTCTTATAAAGATAATAATCAAGAAAGAATTTTGCTTTTAAATTTCTTGAAATTTATTAAGAAAATTAATAAGAAAATATTAAATGTGAATATATAGTAAGTAAACAAAAAACAAATAATTTATAAATTACCCATTTGTGCATATGCATTGAAACATTTGTAAGCCATTTCTAAGTTTCTGTTAGTAATGCGATGAGCCAATGTAGCTTCTTCCATTGTCATATAATTAAATTCAGCAAAGTTAATAACCTTAGTTTTACAGGAGACATCACTAGGAACATTCATAATAGGTGTCTAAGGTCTAAGTGCTAAGAAATTAGCCTGAAGTTTTTCAAGTGTTTTGAATATTCCTGTTATAGTTGGTCGAAAATCTGGATCGGCACCAATGGCTATAATTTAGATAATTGTACGTTAAAATAAAATGATTTAAATATAATAATTTAAGCAAATAATAATAAAATTCAAACCTTTCATAGAAATTTCTATATAATCTTTTAGCAAATTCGAAAAGTTTGTAAATAACTCTCTATATTTTTTTTTATCCACATGATTTTTAATTTCCATAATGTCATCAAAAGATATTTATATGGAGTTTTTTGTTCGGCTAATTCCTATAAAAAAATACCAAAACTAATTATTATAAATCGGTAATTATAGGTTAAAAATAATGAAAAAAGATAAAGTAGAAATTGTTAGTAAGTTAAAAAGTTTTCAATATCTATAAACTTCACATTTAAGATACATCAATATTCTTTATCAATCAAAAGTACCAAGCCACATTCAAGCTACCAATCCCTACCTCAACTCTTCACGAACTAGCCGACCAAGCTGAAAAAACTTTCTGTAATAATTATTCCACTTCTATATCTACTAGTCGCCGTAATATTTTCTTCTACAAATACTTTATTACCTATCATAATATTGCTGCCCAAAATTACAATATTGACAATCTTTCCAAAGAACAAGCTATTGATCTAGTTACTCAAAATCTTATTAAAACTGACTTTCTTGCTCGTATTATAACCTACTTTGATATTATTAAGGCTTCACCCCAAACTTCTAACTATTATATCAACTATATATATAAACATACTGAAAACATTATTGTTACTAAATTTAATTTAAACTTTGTAGTCTCTCCTACTATTGAGAATTCACTATTTCTTGTCAACAATTCCTCTGCATCTGATGACTCTCTTTCAGACTTAATTCTAGGCCCACACAAGTTCTCACCTCTGAGATGTCCAAATCTTCTTCATCTACTAGTGCTTCTACTATTATATCTCCCCCAACTCCCTTCCTTCTACAAGTGTTTCTACTACCTCACTACCCAATAGCAACCTTACAAAATATACTATTATTAACTCCTCCCCTCTCTTGTCTATTCCTCTTAACCAATCTCTCTCATCCCAATCTCATTTTCACTAGCCTAGTCTTCTACTACTCCCATAAATACAGCCACCACCTTATTAAAAGAAACACCTCTGGCAGTTAATAAGGAAGATGATATAAGTAGACAAGTGGATAAGCCTATTTACCTGAAAGGATTGAATAATGACAGTACTTTAACGTTTAACCAGAGTACTTCTAGCTTTTGCGAAACTGTGAGAGCCGGGTATATGGCGAGCGATTCAGTAGAAGTTTTACCCAAGATTCATATTAATATAACTTCTACATCTTATGATCTACTTATTTGCTACAATCGATTCCTTATATCTCAAAACAGTCCTTTTATCGAAAGCCCACAAACCCTAAACTCTTTCATCTTATATTTACTCACTATTGGTCTATAGAACAAACTTTATGAAAAAATTGTTATATCTGTTAAATCAGACTTTAGCGAAGCTTACATTTACCCTGCCTCTACCAGATCATATTATTGTACCTATTATAAAACTATTTATCTTAAACCTTCTATTCCTCTTAGATCATACACCCATAACTCCTTTATATTAAATAATACATACAATCCTGTTTCTAATTTTACTTTTAGTTCCAACTCTTCTTACTCTCTCCTCGATCTCTCATAATATTCGCGGCCTTAACCAAGAACTAAAACAACAAGTTTGGGAAGAATATTGCCTAAACAACAATCTTGATATCATTTGCTTGTCTGAAACAAAACTTGCTTCCAACTCACTCAACCTCTTCTTTTACTTACTATTGGTCTTGTACAGACAGCTCTAAAGCTAGCACTGCTATTATGATTTGAAATCATCTTACCCCTCATATTCATAATATCAGTCAGGGAATATGTCACATGTTAATATATATGAGTATCTGATTATAGTAAAAATGTAGATTATATTTTGGAAATTTACTATGAAATTTTTGAAAAAAATTTATTCGCTCTTAATTGAATCACTGACTGTCAATCGATATCAAGAAAATTCTCTAAATAACAGTATTCTACGAGGTTCAATCTATTAACAACAAAAATTTTGAGAAGTATTAGATATGCAAATGGAAAAGAATGTTGGGCTCGAAGTTTACTATTGCCTCCAAGCCTAACTATAGTAAAAACTACAAATCTTTGTACTACTTATTGAACAAGTCGTGAAATAGTAATTTTTTTTGTGATTTAGTTTCGGAAAGACTTCTAAAATCAAGCTAACAGGATGTTAGCACTGTCATTACTACAATCTTAGGGATTAAGCTTTTCAGAATTGTATTCAGTCTTGCACTGAATCATGCTTTGTATCTTTAAAATATTTTGTGTTTGTTCATTTTACTTATTAGTGCCATTATAACTACGATCTTGAGATTAAGCTCTTCGAAATCATCTTGGGAATATACTTTTATTTTAGATATGTTTATGTTTGTTATTTATTCACAAATATGATTTATTAACTTATTTATTTATTTTTAAACACAGCTTATATAATTTCGGATAATATTTTCACTTTTACCAGTCAGTTCTAGCTTTATATATTAGTTTTTTTTTTTTTTTTAATGTTAAAGGTAAGACCATGCTCTTATCTTTATTAAACTTAATGAAAACTTTTTACATAATTGGAAA